AATAGAATAGAATAGAATAGAATAGAATAGAATAGAATAGAATAGAAGAGTTGGAAGGGACCTTGGAGGTCTTCTAGTCCAGTCCCCTGCTTGGAAAGGAAAGGGAAGGGAAGGGAAGGAAAAGAAAGGAAAGGAAAGGAAAGGAGGAATAGAAATTCAACCAGTGAAGTAGGAAGGTAAGAAAGAGAGAGGAGGGAGGGAAGGAGGGAAAGAGTGAGAAAAGAGAAAGAAAAGAGAAAAGAATGAAATAGCAATAGCCCTTAGACTTCTATACCGCTTCACTGTGCTTTTACATCTCTCTCTAAGCGCTTTACAAAGTCTGCCTCTTGCCCCCCAACAATCCGGGTCCTCATTTGACCCACCTCGGAAGGACGGAAGGCTGAGTCCACCTGGAGCCTGGTGGGATTCGAACTGCCAAATTGCGGGGACCGTTCATCGGCAGAAAGTAGAGTAACAGAATAGCAGAGTGGAGAGGGACCTTTGGAGGCCTTCTAGCCGAACCCCCTGCTCAAGCAGGAGGCCCTCTACCATTCCAGACAAGGGACTGTCCCGTCTCTTCTTGGAAGCCTCCAGTGATGGAGCTTCCACCACGTCTGCAGGCAAAGTCTTTCCATCGGCTAATTGTCCTCCCCGTTAGGGAAATGCCTCCTTAATTCCAGGTTGCTTCTCGTCCTGCCTTCGGGGGCCTTGGAGGATAGATTGACCCTCTTTTCGTTCTTTGGGGCAGCCCCTCAAATCTCGGAAGGCTGCTCTCCCGTCTCCCCCAGCTCTTCTCTTCGTTAGATAGGACTGGTTCTCCTCACGGCATCCTCACTCTCTTCCCCTTCTTTGCAGATCTGGGCTAGTGACTTCCTGCCCAACGAAGCCTCCCTGGAGGACCAGTCCCAACGGAAGTACCACCGAGACAATTCTGTCCCCATGCTGCTGGAGTATGCCCGGCTGGAGGCCGAGCGGAAGGTGGGGGGACTGCTGGCCCGTTAGGGAAGAGGGGGGCCGGTCTCCGTTTGGGGATGCCGGCTTTGAGGCTGACCCGTGTGTGTGTGTGTGTGTGTGTGTGTGTGTGCCTTGCAGGAACGGGTCGTGGTGGAAAATGCGGACTGGCTAGTGGTGGTGCCCTACTGGGCAGTGTGGCCCTTCCAGACCCTGTTGCTTCCTCGGAGACACGTCTGCCGGCTGGAGGAGCTCCGGGAGAGCGAGAGAGACAGTAAGGGTCCCTTTTGGGGATGATGGAGAGAGGAGGGCCTTGGGAGGAGGAGGAGGAAAAGGAGGAGGAGGGGGAGGAAGAGGAGAAGGAGTAGGAGAGAAAGGAGGAAGAAGAGGAGAAGTTGGAGGAGGAGGAAGAAGAGAAGGAGGAGGAGGAGAAAAAAGGAAGAGGAGAAGTTGGAGGAAGAGGAGAAAAAGGAGGAGGAGAAGTTGGAGGAGGGGGAGGAAGAGGAGAAGGAGTAGGAGAGAAAGGAGGAAGAGGAGGAGGAGAAGTTGGAGGAGGAGGAAGAAGAGAAGGAGGAGGAGGAGAAGTTGGAGGAAGAGGAGAAGTTGGAGGAAGAGGAGAAAAAGGAGGAGGAGAAGTTGGAGGAAGAGGAGAAAAAGGAGGAGGAGAAGTTGGAGGAGGGGGAGGAAGAAGAGAAGGAGGAGGAGGAGAAAAAAAGGAAGAGGAGAAGTTGGAGGAAGAGGAGAAAAAGGAGGGGGAGGAAGAGGAGAAGGAGTAGGAGAGAAAGGAGGAAGAGGAGGAGGAGAAGTTGGAGGAGGAGGAAGAAGAGAAGGAGGAGGAGGAGAAAAAGGAGGAAGAGGAGGAGTTGGAGGAAGAGGAGAAAAAGGAGGAGGAAAAAGAAAGGGGAGGAGAAAAAGGAGGAGGAGGAAGAGGAGGGGAGGAAAAAAAGGAGGAAGAAGAGCAGGAAAAGTTGGAGGAGGAGGACAAAAAGGAGGAAGAGGAGGAGAAGGAAGAGGAGGAGGAGGAAGAGGAGGAAAAGGAGGAAGAGGACACCTGATCTGGGTTGTTTTCTTGCAACCACCCTCCCACCAACACTGACAGGGCAGAGGCTGCTATAAACAGAGAGCCTTCCCTCCTAGCACTGAGGATGTTACCATGTCGGTCATGAAACGTCTGCAGGAAAACAACCAAAGGAGCCCCGAGGACCCCACAGTCCTCCTCCTCCTCCTCCTCCTCTTCTCCACCTTCCCTCCGACTGATGATGTTACCTAGTTGGGTCCTGAAAGCCAAGAGCCAAGCTCAGAGACCACCAACCCCCCCCCTCCTCCTCGCTTCACACCCCCACCCCCTTCAGTGAGGTGCAGATGGGGGAGTTTTGTGGGGGGGGGGCTCCAGCCCAGCTGTGGGTGGGGGCTGGGGGATGGCTTGGGGGGGGGTGCCCACTGACTCCTTTGAGCCTCCTTTTTTTTGCAGGCCTGGCATCCATCATGAAGAGGCTTCTCACCCGATACGACAACCTCTTCCAGGTTCCCTTCCCTTACTCGATGGGTTGGCATGGTGAGCTTTGGGGGGAGGGCAAGAAGGCCTGGGCCTGGGGGAGACAGGAAGCAGCTGCCTTGGGGAGACACCTTCCTAGGGTTGGAAGGCTCCTTCCTTTCTTTCTTTCTTTCTTTCTTTCTTTCTTTCTTTCTTTC